ATGTGGTCACATTGGCCACATAAGCAAGTACTGCGAAAGACCCGACGCCTGTCTCACGTGTGCCGGTAATCATCGTTCGTCGAGGGACAACCCTTGCATGCAGGAGAAGTCTTGTATCAACTGTAACGGGGCACACAGCACCATGGACAGGGACTGCCCTCTGTATAGGAAACACCTGGATATTGCGAGAGTGATGGCGTACGACAATCTTCCATTTTTGGCGGCGAGATCTCTGGTAGAAAGAAATGGAGCTCCAGCTCCATCGAGATCGGTTCCGGCCAAGTCCTTGAGGGAGTTCCCGCTCCTGTCGCTTGGGAGGAGTTCTTCGGACTACCGTAAGGTGCCACAGGAGACATTGGGAGGGAGCCTCTCGTACAGTTCTGCGCTGACTAAAGAAGCGAAGGGAAATACCAGAGACCTTTTATTTAGTATTATCGAAATGATTTTGGCGGACCCTGATGTGGATGTATTGTGCGATAGGATTAAGAAAACCATAGATTTACATATTACGTCTAGAGGTAAGAAAAAAATAGCTTGTAACAATGAATCCAGTAAATAACCTTAAGGCTGATACGTTGAGAATACTTCAATGGAACGCAAAGTCTGTCATGCCTAGGTTTAATGAATTATCTAAACACTGCGATGAATTTAATTTAATGCTAATTTCAGAAATATGGCTTTCTCCGGGAAAATCTTTCCCACTTAGAGGTTTTGCCGTTGTGAGGGAGGATAGAGTGAATCGTATGGGAGGAGGCGTTCTGATAGCAATACGTAAAGGGATTAAATACAGAAGGATTGCGAACATTGACAATTGTGGTGGTAAGATGTAGAGGTGTGCGAATAGTTCGAATTCGAATCGAATCGAATCGAATCACAGTAGATTCGATTCGATTCGTTTTCGAATCTGCAAGATTCGAAATCGAATAGTTCGAGAATTTCGAATCAACAATGGTTTGATTTCGAATTGATTACTTAACGTAATGTTAATCTGGAAAAATTTGATTCAGATTCGATTCGTATTTGAATTAAAGAGATTCGATTCGATTGGATTCGAAGTAAAAATTTCAGATTCGATTCGATTCGATTTCGAACATGTTATAAAAATTCGATTCGATTCGATTCGACCATGCAAATGCTTGATTCGCACACCTCTAGTAAGATGGAGATCTGCGCGGCTGATATCTATGTGAATGGAGAATGTGCACTTACTGTTGCTTCCTGTTACCGTCCCCCTAATGCCGGAAATATATCAATGCGAGAATGGGAGAGCTTCTTCATTCAATTTACGGGTAAAGTATATTTTGGCGGCGATTTTAATTCGCACAATATAATTTGGGGTTCTGCATATACTTGCTAAA